TACAGGTGTGAAAGGTTAAACCTTTGCTCACACGGAGCGATCTGGCATTCATGCGGCAGGAACCAATGGATTCCTGCTGCAGCAATGCCAGGTGTCCTTGTTCAGATGCGGCCACTGTACCGAGTGAAGTAAATGACAGGGTGACAGCGGCTGCATCTGTCAGTGGCAGCACACATGTAACCCATACATGGTACAATTACATGCTGTTGGGAAAAGATGATTGTGTACAGCGACAAATCATTTATCCCAAACCACATGCTCTAATATAATGCATAATATACGGGCGGCCGCTCACCTTATATGGGTACAGAGGTTGCATGGGAACAGAACAATTGGGATTCCCGCAGCAGTGTGGACAAGCCCCAGCCATCATTCATCAATGCACACGCTCCCCAGCCACTGGAGGTGGTTGTCTGCACCCAACATAGTCCAAAGTGGGAATGTGCAAAGAAGGGTGGCTATGTTTGCTCTACAGCAGGGGTCTCAAACCTCTGGCCCTCCAGCTATGGTGGAACTACAAATCCCATGAGGCATTGCAAGAGTCTCACAGCCACAGACGTGACTCCCGAAGAGATGCATCATGGGATTTGTAGTTTTACCACAGCTGGAGGGCCGAAGGTTTGAGACCCCTGCTCTACAGTGAAATCACATGGGGCTAACATAGCATCCTCCAAAAAGTAAGTGCAGCAGCCTGATTCTAGTTTAATTCTTTATTGATACACAAGCAACCATGGCTAGTGCAACATTTATATATGTACCGGAGGAGGTAAGGAATACTAGATCTATTTTTATTTTATTTTTTTTAGGTTTAGTGTAAATTTAATACACAAAGAAGTCAGATTCTATTAGAGGCTGTACTAGAATAAGGGTTAAACGAACCGGTTCCTACTATCTATTTGATTTACATAGTATCCATTTCAAATACAGCCATGTGAAAAAGTACAGCCAACTGAAATGGAAGAAATATTTGCCCAAACAAAAAAAAAAAAAAAAAAACATTGAAGACAATGGCTTGCCAGTGAAGATAAGATAGGACCGGGCCCAGGCCTTCAAGAACAAATGTGCTATGAAATGAAAGGAGAACTATATGGAGAGTGAAATACACTCATCCCTAGTCTGAACCAACGTGCGACAGCAGCTATCACGCGTCAGCTATATAGATCGAGAGCTGAGCGATCACAAACTTCTGTATTACTATAAAGCCTTGGCTCTCAACTGGTGGGTCGTAACCCTAAAGTGGGTCGCTGCATGTTTTCCCACTTTTTTTAGGCGAGAGGCTCCTCTGCCTCCCCAGAGCGCAGCACTGTCAGTCCTCGCACCAACCAGACATTCAAAATATGCTTCCCAGCGCCGAGTGTCAACTTGAGGTGGGGTGGGGCAATGGCCGCAAGGGAGCTCCATCCATCCATCCATGCATTGCTTACAGCTCCCTCACGTGTCCTGTAATAATGCCTGGACCGGAGTGACATCACATTCTGGATCAAGGCACCTATACAGGGTGCGCAAGGGAGCTGTATAAGCAATGCACATATGGAAGGAGCTCTGCCACAGAATAGCAGCCAACACTGGACCCCAGGCTGGGGATCCATTCCAGTTCTCGTAAGGTAGGGAGGCTGGGTGCACCTTAAAAAAAAAAAAAAAAAAAAAAAAAAAAAAAAGGGAGATTGTGTTTGTGTACGTATGTCAGTGTTTGAGGGCCCGTTCACACTAGTACAGTGCGTTAAACTGTACCACGCAATCACACCTACCATGCATTCTGGTGTGGCAGGTGTGTTGCATTGCCATTCATTTGTATGGTACCCTAAACGCACCTCCCACCGGATCATGCAGTACCCTAATGCCGTGCCTTCCATTGCAGACCTTAATGACCGAGGATAAATGTGGGTCCTGAGGTTACACAGGTTGAGAACCACTGCTATAAGGATTCGCTATGAGTATTTGTCATAGAAAATATTTTATGAATTTGTGCCCCCCTGTATTACTCACCGGCGTTTGTCTCGCTCTGCACAATGGGATATAATGGAGCTGTACAAACCAACAATAATAATAATTTAGCAGGTTACAATCCACTTACCGGGAGTTTCCACTCTCTGATAGTGATAAGGGTTGACGCACACTTCATCTTTCTTAAGATTAAAGGCGTATTCACAATTTTCAATCGCTTTCAGCTCGTGGTGACTGTGAAGGTCTGGCCAGCGCCAGAGGCGGCAGTAAATAACATGCGGTAACCCTTTACGGTGAGACACTTGCAGGCGGCCATCGAGAGACCTGGACAGCAGAAGGACGGATAATTAAAAAGAAAAAAAAAAAAAGTTTGTCCTGTGCTTTTTACATATTGACAGCAAACACTGAAGCAAAAGATAGAAGGAACATAGAAAAGTACAGAAAAGACCACTCTGTCCTTTACACGCACACAGCAGCAGAGAGGTTGTGGTTGAAGAGGATCCCCACACAAATGTACATTTCACAGAAGGCGCCTTACAAGGGACTTATCTGCTTTTTGGTTGGGATGAACCGTTTTAAACCCTAATGGGTCGTCAAGGACCTTTGCTGCCTAATGCTGACCACATACTACAATCAGTATTTACTCCAAGTGCTATTTCCTACAATCATTGGTCCCTTCTGATAATGCAACTTGGGCTTCAATTGATAGGTCAGAAAACTTAAAACTAGGGATGCACCGACACTAGTATCAGTGCCGATACCGAGTATTTGGGTGAGTACTCACACAAATGCTCCGATACTTATCCCGATACCGAAACTTCTGGTCAGAGGGAGGCCGATCGGAAAGCCAGGCCGCAGGTAATGACCCACGGCCTGGCTTTGTTTGGTCGGGAAGCCCACCCCATGCTGTTTGGCTGCAAAGCCAGTTTCCTGGCAAATCAGCATGGAGCCGGCTTCCCGGGCAATCAAGAAGCCAGTCGGCGGGTAATGGCACACGGGGAAGTCGGCTTCCAGCTACCAGAAGTACCGGTACTCGCTGATACAGAGTACCGAAAGATAAATATCAGTACTGCCATTTGATACCGAAAAACCGGTACCAGTGCATCCCTACTAAAAAAAACAAAAAACGTTATTTTTATAGCCGAAGGCTTTTGTGCATTATGGGTTAAAGGTGATAAAACCACTAGACCCAAAACCACTAGACCAAAACATAAGGTAATGACTGCATGCAAGAAAAAAAAAAAAAAAAAAAGTCAAGTGAGCAGACTATTTGGATTGTAAGATGTATAGGCCAGACCAGGACAATGCGACCACCACTGATAAACCCGAGATGGAAAAATCTGAACCCTGTGGTGTGGCTGTGGTGCGAAATGATCTGAATGATCCAGCTAATGCTTACCACGCACCCCAGTACCAGTGCCAATTGCTGCCATGATAGATCTACCAATTGATCAGCATGGCAGGAGGATGTAAATTTATGAAGCCAACAGGTTGTGGACATTTGTTTGCCTTCAATTAGTAAAAAAAAAAAATTAATGGAGAAACCCCCTTTTCTTAAATGACAGGTCAGCTGTGACTTGGGGGAACACTCAGACGCTTCCTACGGTTTTTACATTTTTGTGGAGAGCCTCTTTAACCTCATCACACAGTTCACACAACATACGTCATACCAGGCCATTCGCCCAGAAGGGGAAGTAAAACAAAAAAAGTTAAAGGAATACTTAATATGCGCAGTAGAAGCTGGGGTCATAGTAAGCATACAGAGAGGCTGCAGCAAACAGATGCTTAGACTGTCATGCAAAAAGCACAAAGACCGCAGCAGCACTGAACGAAAACATAAGCAAAGCCGTAAAAGCGAAAAACAGCAGCGTTACCCTAGAAAAGCCGCAACTGTCCTGCACAGCGGAACTTCCCTCGCTAACGCAGGACCGCGTACCCGCTAAATCTGCTCTACCCTGGCCTTCCGCCTAACCTCGCCACAAGTTTAAACCCGCATTCTAGCGTGGAAGCACACACCATCAGCCAGAGAAGAAAAGAAAAAAAAGGCAATTCAAGAAAAGCATGGCAAAGAAAAAATATAAAAAAACGCAACCTAAACACTGAAAAAGGTAATTTATATCGATCGGGGTTAAACTAAAAAAATCCCTTTGGAGACTTCCTTCCCAACACTACAAACACAAGGACCGGCTGGCTGCATATGCACATACACAAATGCAGATGTAAATGGTAATGAAATGAACAAAAGAAAAAAAAAAAAAGAAAACTACTACAAAAAAGGGAAAATAAAAACATAAAATAAGCTTCTGGAACTTCTGGAGGCATGGAAGTTTGGAGTGTAGGTTTTCACCCTCGATAAAGCAACCGTGGAATGATGGATTGAGTCAGCAACTACTTGGGGTCCGCTGAGCTTATTAAAGAGGCAAAACCTCAATGAAAGTCTAAGACTATAGAGCACCTCCACCAGTGACATGGCTGATGTAGGAGGCATTCTAGGCTATGTTTAGGATCGACTGCCTCAACTATACATCTTTTAAAATATTTTGTTGGTCAAAATTTCAGCTTGTGAAAAATGTAAAAAGCCACAAAGTAAATAAAAAAGTAACCATAATGTGGAATCGTTCAAGAA